TCACGACAGGCGTTGGCACTATAAAGATCCCTCACTGCTCAATGGCCCTGAGTGCGAGTAAAGGTCAAAATTTGAAGCCCTTCACCGGTATATGGTAACGTCTCTATATGAGGGGAAAATTCTCGAATGGGACGTAAAACAACATACAATCAATCAATCAAAATTTCTTCTCCGGTACTTTCTTGAGTGTTCTTGAAAACTGCTCAACCGATTGAGATGAAACCTTTTTAGGGTTAATAGGCATGTTGTGTAGATGTGCTGAACGAAGGTCGTTTTGCGTGCACATGCATGCACGTGCGCGCGGGTGCGACGAGTGAAATGACTGATATACTTAATATAACCAAAACTTTTATATTTTTTTATGAATTCTTTGTAACTCAGAATATAAAAATACATTAGTAGTATAGACAAGATGACGTGGTGAAATTAGCATGAACCCATGCGCATGCACGTCACTTTGCTCTGACTGGCTGATACAAAAATCTCCATAACTTCCTTGTTTTTTTTGTGTGTGTGTTTTTTTTTTTTGACAAAATGCTCTGAAATTTAAATATAAGAATTTATTACATTTTCAACAGTGAAATACTGTGATTTATTTTAAGTGATATTCTCTCACAGTGTGAAAGGATACCAAAATGATATTCTCTCACAGTGTGAAAGGATATCAAAGTAAGTAAAAAAATAATTTCTGGCCCTTCTTAAGATAGAGCTAGTAACTAACCATCTTGATAGAGCTAAACATTTCTTCCCAAATATGTTGCTAAAATCCATGCTATGTAATGTTTTCAATCTCACAACTGCTAAGCTATGACGTCTCAACCGCTCAACTATGACGTCAAGCCTATGACACTGTGTTAAGAAAAGACAGAGGCAAAGGGAAAATCAAAGAAAATGTAATAAACAGAAAATTCAACGTTTTGTAGATGAATATGGAATTTATTTCACTCGTGAGACAGGATTTTTTAAATATTTTCACTCGTGCTTCGCACTCGTGAAAATATTAAAAAATCCTGTCCCACTCGTGAAATAATTTCCATAGGACATTTCATGCAGGTTTGCTGCAATCTTCTTGGCTGAAACTTTAAATAGCTATAACTTCCTTGGTTTTCAACAAAACAGGATGAAATTTATAAAATGGATAGGTACATTGGGCTCCTACATTATGAGACTATCAAAATTGAATGCAACATAATGCATGCGCGTGTGTGGAATTCTGATTGGCTGATACTCAAATGGTTATATCTCTTTTATTTTTCAGTGAAATTCTTTGACATTAAACACAAATGTATATATTGTGAGACTCTATAAGAAAATTTATAAGAAAAATGTAGAAAACATGTGCAAGCACATGCGCTGAAATTTGATTGGCTAATACCCCTATGGCTATATCAGAGTAGTTTTCCAATAAAATACCCTCAAAAATAAAGTGTCCATCTATATTTAAAAAAAGTATTGTCTTATTCAATGAAACTTGTAGGGATTGGGGCATCGGGGGAGCCGTTTGGGAAACAATTGAAACGGTTACCGTTACAATTAGCACTAGTTTGTATTCATATTTAGCAGAATTTATTCAAAATCTTACACATGATGAGAAGAAGAAAACACTTGCTGTGGCTTTCAACGCGACATTTAGATATATTGACGACGTATTATCAATTAACAATAGTTACTTCCATTCATATGTCGACTTGATATATATCCCAGTGTCCTTGAATTAAAAGATACCACAGAGTCTGACACATCTGTTTCATATTTGGATATTTACTAGAAAAAGACGTTAATGGTTATCTTAAAAAAAAACTATATGATAAACGTGATGACTTCTTTCTATCGTCCACTTCCCTTACTTAAGTAGCAATATATCCTTATCACCTGCATATGGGGTTTATGTCTTCCAGTCGATTCGTTTTCAAGAGTATGCTCTACATACGAACAATTTGTAAAACGAGGCAAGCTATTGATGAAACAAGAATATCAACAGTCTCATTTCGCAAGTCCTATGGTCGATACAATGACCTTGTCAGCAAATACAAACTATCATTAAGTCAAATTCTGACTGACGTTTTTCATACTAATTCTTATGCCTTTGTTTACACATTGAATATGTCTACGGATTTTTCTGTTTGTTCGATCATGACAATGAGCACACGGCGGGTGTGACCGGTTGACAGGGATGCTTACTCCTCCATGGCACCTCATTCTACCTCTGATGTTTTTTAAGGTCCGTGTTTACTCTGCTCCTGATTTGTATTTTTCCAGTGGGGTTTTTAGCTTGATTGCTGTTCGTTATCTTCATATTTGCTTATTAATTAATTTTGACCTAAAACTTTTCATCTTTTTTTTCAACTGTCACAAATTGGAACATTTCTATTCTTTATTTAAAAAAAAAATGAAATTTTCAATAATTTATTAAGTACCACAAATAAATTTTTTATTTTTAGTGCATTTTCCTAAAAATATTATTAAAGGAAGACAATTTTTGCTGATGGATGCTTTTTTTTCTAAGAGGTACATGTTTTGACTTAAAAGGCAGCATTTCATATGTTTTCTAATATGAGCTTAATATATAACATTAAATATTAGCTTCCTATATAGCCCATGACATGATAAAGATCTTTATATCGCTCTTTTTTATTCACTGTTTTCTTCATATCATACTAGTAGTTAGATATATTAATTTCATTCTGAAAAAAGGAAGCACCGCTTCGTTCTTTTCTGAATTCGCTGAATGAGATTTTTTTATTTAGATGATTAATTTATTTCTAAAACAAAAGTTTTTTTTTTTTAATATTGAATACAAGTTGCTTTACATTGCTTTAGTTATACGCGTGTCAGTTAGGAATATGTTTACATTATTTTGTCAAATTTTTATCTTTTTTTTTTTAATTTCATGTTAATATATACAATTACATGTATGTTATGCTTGCACCTCATGTAATTTAATGAAATTATGTTGGTCGTTCAAGAAATAATACAAAGAATTTTATCTTTCGCATTTTCGTTGGTTAGTTTTATGAAGAAAGTGAAATTACGGCTTTAAAAAACAACTTAAGTTGTCCTAACAACTAACACTATGTCATTATTCTTTCCACAGGGTAAATAAAGAAATTAAGAAACTAAAAAAAAGTTAATATCAATATACATTTAATAAAATCTTTACAAATACTTAATTTTTATAATCATTGAAATTATTTCTTCTTCTAGTAAAAAAAATTGAAAGTATATCTTCCATGTAAAAATGTGGAATTTTCGGTTAACAAAAAGCATGCCATGGGATGAGTCCACTATACTCAAAACGTATATTTTTATGACATCTTTTGTGAAAAAATTTAAGTTTTACAGGGATTCAATTAAAAACAAGATTTAAATGCTGAATCATGCTACGAGTTGCGTTGCTCAACTGTTTAACATGTATATTAAAGGGACAAAACTGATCGTCAGAAGTTTTGTCGTTTGGGCTTAATCTCCACAGAAACCTCTCGTCCATTTTCTTCATTTTTTTTTAAACATTAGAATTATTTTTTGTCCTTGAAATGTGAAGGATTTAGCCATTTCTAACTTCTTCTCTATCTGTTAAGCTTGTTTTTCATAGAGTGGTAAGATTTGTTTCAGTAATTTCTAATGCCAAAGATTAAGAAAAGCAGACAAGACACAGTTAATTATGATATAAAAGAATTAGACAAAAAATTGTCAAATCACTTTCATAAATTTAATGTGGTGAAACCATGTTATGTATGGTCATGGAATTACTGAAAGATTTTTATGCCCCCGGATCGAAAGATCCCGGGGGTATATTGTTTTTGTCCTGTCTGTCTGTTTGTCTCTTGACAACTTTAACCTTGCCCACAACTATTGCGCTGTCAAGGGTAAGGCTTTAATATTTGACATGAGTGTTCATTATGACAAGACCTTTCCATTGGTACAGAAATTTTTGATCATGTGACCTTTGACCTACATTTGAAAAACTTTAACATTTGCCATAACTATTGCACTGTAGTCTACGTCCCCCGTCCCACTCCAGAATTGCGTTACCATCGGGGGCATAGTGTTTCACAAACACATCTTGTTCAACCTAAAATAGTTCTGTCATTCGAGATCTTATGTAAAAAATACAGGCTATTTACAGAATTTCAAAATCATTTACTGCTATTATGCAACTATTTCAGCTTATTTTGTAACAAATGCAATTCATGAATTAAAATTGCAAGATAAATGAAAGATTCGTCTATGCACATTTATTGATATATAAATGGCTAAAATATCAGTTTTCTATCTTAGCTGCAGATCTTTAGCTCGCTGGTCTGAAAAATAATTGGAATGGACGACAAGAGAGCCACCCTTTGAATAAAGTATATTATTACGCACAAAAAATGCACCGTTTCTCGGTTAATTTCATATTAAATATACGGAGAATAAATCGAGAAACAGAGCACTTTTTGTGCGTGTGCTATAAATATACACTTTTTTGATGGGTGGCACTGTAGCTCTCTGATAGTTCATTCAATTTTTTTCAGACCAGCAAGCTATAGTTCAGCAGCTATTTCTATATAAGCGACCATTTACTTTTACTAATACAAAAGGTATATTTTAAAGTTTCTTTTTAATATTTTTCAGTTTTGTATTCTTTTTATTAAAAATTACGTGGTTATAATTTTGCTGCTTTATAAGAATTATATTTTGAAACCTTTACAATGTGTAGCTATCTTATGGCACTGTCCTAGTACATTGTAGATCATGTCAAAACATATATATCAATCTATCATTAAAGGGAAGCTGTCAATAAACTGTGTTGCTGATTTACTGGTAGCTTAGAATATTTTACAACAACTTTATTCTATTTTGTTACAGAATTTCGGGGAGTGCTTTCAAATGGAATGAAATGCAAAAATAACAGAGTAAATTTGTCAGCAAGTTTAAGAGAAGGCAAATTGATCAAGATTTATACATATTTTGAACACTATGTAAAATATGTAGTACATCAAATTTTAAAGAGTAACAAATTGATATAGCAAATTTTTAATTTGCATGAAACCATGAAAATGCACATTTATATACCAGTAAAGCAAGTAAAAAATTACTAGTAACCACATAATACCCATGTAATATGAGAAACAAATTACACATCAAAACTCTAGCTTACTAAGTAGTACATTTATACTCTATAACAGTAATTCGGAGTTCACATAACCGTCATAAAATAAATCCACAATATTTCATATAATCTGGTTTCATACAAGTTTCACAAACTCACACCTACATCCATAATTAATCACTTTCACTTCATCTAACCTTATATCAGTGGCTGGCCACTTTGATAAAAATCACACTGCAAAGGTTTCTTACAATTAAGAATTAACATATTTTTATTATTCTCAGAACTACTGGTGAAACTGCATCAAAAATTTAACATTAAATATATACACCAATACGGAAGCAATCATTAACTTAAATGTACACATTGTAGCAACTAAATGAAAAAAAAAATATGCTGCGATATTCATCATTTTTCTATACTCAGCACTAGTCAAACAAATGAATGGGAGTATTTTGTTAAATTAAATGACAGGTTTGGTTGATACAATGACTAGTTTTCTAATACATATTACATTGTTAGACTTTGATTGAACTTGGACTTACATAATAAATTATTCCATGATAAGTGGTAAAACGGAAACAAAAATAGAAAGAAACCATTTATCTTACATTCTCAAGTAAGATTATGATGTTAGCAAATTTAGATTTAGTCATCGCACCGAGCACTTCGTAGTTGTCTCACATACGCCTTGTCTGTAGCGGGAAGCGCTTCTTCGTTCACCCACGTTTAGATCAGTTTTACATCCCATAGTAGCCTGTGAAAAATACAAATCTTTTTTGAAAGGGTATTCATCCACGTCATAACTCGTATTCATGCTTACAAGATTCGTCAACAATAAGTACCTCAATAAGACCATTGTACAGTATTATATGTTGTTTTTACAAAATTGTGTTATTAATCGTTTTAGTTCATTTATCTTACAAGTCAGTAGTTAAGGTCTGACGACTCGTTTCTCAAATATCTGTTTTGTTTTTCCTTGTAAAATATAAGAAATATTCATAATATTAAAATGATCTTGTGAATTCTAAACTGTTTTTAATATGTCTTAGAAAATAAATACAATAAAAATTGTGACATTGACAATCCAAATAGGATTATACAGAAAACACCACCCTCTGGTATCTTGCACAAATGCCTGGTAAGGTAACTCAATTTTTGTGAGGAAACTTGTTAAAGTAGCAGTACTTCAATGACAAATTCTTGGGAAAAATTATATATTATTGAGGAACGTGTCGTCTGAATTTAATTAACGATATTACTTACCATTAATGGCATATCAGCAAATTGCATAGACGATAATCAGGGAAAACGCCCACAAGCTATTTTTCCTATCCGAATTTGTGTCGCTTTTCACATTTCTGCCATATGAAGTTTCAACTGGAAATGCAAAATCAAATAAGAGGAATATGTCAAAGAAACCCGAATTTCCTGATGAGACTGTAGATGTACTGTTTTGTACGAGGGCTGTTCGATTTGTTAGTGTATTGTACCACAGCAACGTTTTTCACGATTTTGTGGATGATGATACTTTTGAATAGCTCTATTCAATACCGTATCAACGACCTGTGACTGTAATAGGCAAGGCAAATGTCTCAACAGTCGGGGAAAAAATTGAAAGCTATGGCAGAAACACGATTCGTGATATTGCCAAAGCTGTTGGCATATCGCTATCATGGATATATTTCATTTTGAAGCGTATTTTGAAAGTACGAACGATTTCTGCCAGATGGATGCCGCATATATTGACAGATGACTAAAAACGGGTACGAATACAAACCACTAAGCCATTGCTTAAAATGTTTCCCAAATTCAATCAAAGACAATTTGCAAACATTGTTAATGGTGACGAAATATGAGTTTCATTATTTCGAACCCAGAAAGAAAAATTGGGGGGAAAGTATGGCTAACTTAACACAAAAGAAGAACTGTAGTTGCCAAAAGAACCATAAGCACAAAGAAGGTTCTTTACTGCATATTCTTCTCGTGTGATGATATTAATAGCCGTACAAATTCTGGTGCCGAAGGGCACAAGTGTTACGGGTCGGTATTACGGAGATGTTATACTAAAAAGCTCAAGAAATATTATCATAAACGACGCCCTGTGTCAGGATTAAGGCATGTTCGTCTACCACTGACAGTACTTCATGATAATGTTCCATCGCATAGATCCGAGCTTATGAAGCAATTTTTGAAGTCGGAAAGGTTACCGTCTTGCCACACCCACCACACTCTCCAGATCTAGCTCCAGGCGACTTTTTCCTTTTTCCAAAACTTAAGTATACCTAAATCAGCGTACCGTGACGCATTTTGGAAAATGATTCAGATATTAAAATTGTGTATTTTAAACCGCGGAGAATACTTTGAAGGGACGTAATGTTCCTTTGACCATGCTTTTGAGATATCGCACAATACACATTACATATCGAACAACCCTCGTACTTATGAAGAAGAGGGAGAAAAGTAGCATCACACACTTTTTTTCAGTTTACTTTTACAGAATTATAATGTTTTTAAATTAGTAACAAGTCAACCGAAGTCTAGTCAAAATAGTAGTATACTACACTTATGAATTTTGTTTTTGGATATTGGGAGTTTATTTCATTTTCAACTTATGGTAATGTGATATAAGAATTAGAAAGACTGCAAGAAATATATGTTTTGATTCCAGCTGACAAAGCTTGTTACAATATAGTCTTTGATTATAAGGATCATTATTTCAACTGCATTTTCGACTGAAGAACTCGATCTGCATGGTAATCCACCCTGTACTCAGAGTTCCCTCTCAAAAAATGAAATTCTTTAAAATCAACTTTCAGTTTTAAAATACTTTAAACATTCCAATCAATGGAAGTGAATTTGATTTACCATACCTATGGTGGATTCCAATTTAAACCTCATAAATCCTTACAAATATTTTGCAGGGTTCAGTAAGTATTCAACCAAGCCCCTATCCTTACTTTTCACCAAATATTTATTGCTGTGAAGGAGAAACTTCAGACATTTTGTACAACAGTTACTAAATATTCAAGAAGTGTGTAAATCATATGTGGATTCTTGGGAACTTTAAAGAACTTTTGGTTTATTTAAATCTCAAACTTTTCAAATATCAAAGCATCAAGACATATGACTTTTCTACGCTTCAACGACCATTCCTCGCGGTAACTTCAAGAGCAGGCGTTTTGACATCACAGACAACTGCTTCCTCAATAAAACTGGAACTCGCAATTTGTCAAAAAAACCATTCTGATTCTACATGCAAGTACTCTGAAGTTCATACTTAAAGGATCCTGGAATTCCTCATTGAAAATATCCATGTAGTCTTTGGAGACCAGGTCTTCCAACAATATGTTGGAATTCCGAAGGGCACTAATTTTGCCCCTTTTTAGCCGACCTATTTTTATATTCCTATGATGCAGAATTTATCCATTAACTTCTACATTGGAAGAAAACTCTTACTCTGGCCTTCATCTCAACATTTAGATAAATCTACGACGTTTTATCAGTTAACAATAGTTACTTTCATTCATATGTCGACTCTATACTGTACGTGTACATAATTTGGCGTATTCAAAATTAAGCGCAATCTCTGGGTATGGAGTTGTTTGCGAAATCGTGAATTAGCGCTATACATGTCCGTGCCGTATATTGTATTTATAAATGATATCTTAGCGGTATTTATGAATTAGCGCATCGTTGTCTGCACAAAAGCCGCTAAAATATGAAGCCTGCTATGAAGCTAAGTACACATACAGTATTGAACTCGAAATTAAAGACATTATAGAGTCTGCCACATCTGTTTCATATTTCGATGTTTTACTGACTATAAACGATAATGGCCAACTGCATAATAGTAATAATAACTAAACTGTATGATAAACGGGATGACTTCAGCTTTTCCATCGTCAACTTCCCTTATTTATCAATATCATTATCACATGCATATGGCGTTTATGTCCCGACTGATTCGATACAAAACAACATGTTCCCAGTACCATCAATTTTTAAATCGGGGCAAGCTACTGACAAATAAGTTAATGTTACAAGGATTTCAACAACACCTTTAAAGTTTTTGTTAATCATACGGTCGTTATAATGACCTTGTTTGTCACTATAACTTAGCATTGGGTCGTATTTTGCCTGACATGTTTGATACCATTTGGTAGGTCATTACATTTATACTGAATTTGACAACTGAATACTCCGTATAGCTGATCAAAACATAAGGCTCACGGTGGGTGTGACTCGCAACAAGGGATGTTTACTCCTACTAGGCACCTGATCTCCCCTCTGTTGTTTCCAGGGGTCTGTGTTTTGTTTACCGGACTTTTGAGATTGAACATTGTTCGTTATTTTCACATTTTACTTTCATGCTGTTAAAAAAAATCTGTTCGTCCGGAAAATACAATGCATTTAAGATTTTTCTTCTCAATATTTTTTTACTATAGTCTGTCTAACATGAATACTTTCATATCATTCTTGACAATAACAAATAAACTGTGCCTTGTCTCAAAATAAACAGTTACTATCATTTAAATTATCAAAAAAACTTTAATCATTTTTTATTTAAACTGGATACATACACCCTGAAACAAAATGGTGGTGGCTATTTTTGAGAATGGTAAATCTCTAAGAATCAATACCCTGGTTGACATTGAATTAACAAAGCACAGAAAACATTCTTCATCAACAAAACCTAGCTTAAAGGCTAACATATCATTGTATTTTACTAAATGCAGCTCATAAGTTACATGTAGAAATATTAAACACAGAATATTTTGATTGATAATTTAAAATGAAATGATAATTATCATTCTTACCAAATTTGTCTCTTTGAGGCGTGCGAACTGAAAAAAAAAATATGTTAAAAAATTTAGCATCATAAAAATAAGCAGCGATATACATTTTGTAAGTGTTCAACTGTATAAAATTAAGTACGCCTCTCGTTACTGATTTACAGACTTTCTACAGAATCCTCTATGTTAAGTATTATCATTATCATTCAGTAATTATCATTCAGTAGTTATCAGTCAGTAGTTATCAATCAGTAATTATCATTTAGTAATTATCAATCAGTAGTTATCATTCAGTATTTATATATCATTCAGTAGTAATACACTGTTCCCTCTGTTATTCGAAAAGTATATAATAAGAAAATAATTATATTAAAATTAAAAAAAAATCAACCACTGGTACATTTTATTTTAGGACATCTCTGTGTTTCCTTTTTTTGTACATTAAAAATAGTGTTTGGGTTACATTAAGTTTGAAACAGTATTGTTATTACAAATCGCCACCTCTCTGCATTATGCATTAGAATGGTGCAAAATGCTATATATGTTTTTATTTGATTTACTTAAACGTCCATAAATCACTGCATTTGTAAAAACGGAGGTCAGCTGGTACATTTATCTATATGTGCTCAAAGCTCCTAAAATATTGTCTTTATCTGTGTTCTATACTGTTCAGCAAATGGAATTGGTAATTTCATTACTTTCGGTACAATTTTACGTGAAAAAAATTGTATTGCAAAATAGATGTGAACAAAAATCCTGGTGTGTTATGTAACCAAATGATGAAAGATTTCAGTACATTTGTGGGTTTCTTACTTTTATCACAAATTCGTATCAAACGATTATCTCCCAATAAAATATTTTAAATCCCTACACTAATTGAAGCAATAATGAATCTAGTGCTATGTATTCCTCTTTAAGTTTCAAAGGCCAGACCAGTTTTACGTTTCAGATGTGTAAAAGATTGATAACACGAAATCTCACCGATCTTCGGTTTATCAGTCCCTTAATAGCTGCAGACCTTAACAGCCGGGGTATTCAAAGTTCATGATCAGTAAAATGTCGATCAATGATCATCTATCTTTGATGTATTAAACTTTGAAGCCAAAGCGTCTGCACCTCAAAAGTTGCGAACTGTTAATGATTTTAATCAGTCAATTGATTCTAAACCATCGTGTATGTTTAATAAGGAAACTGAGGACAGATAATCACCAGTAAATAATCCATTTGTTTATTGAAACACCTGATCAAACGCGCTAAAAGACACATTGACTTTGTAATGAAGGTTTATCTGCAGATTAATGACAAATATTTCAAATCAGCTCGATGGAGCTCCTATAACATCACTTACTTAATTACACTAATGATTTAGTAATTTACATATTCATCGCATTTGTAATATAGACATTTATAAACAAAAAAGGGAGTAATATAAGTATTTAAACATTAAATTGAAAAACAAAAGAACCTTGACATAAAGAAAATTGACTCATTAGTTAATGTTATAAAAACCTGTTTCTCCCATTTACAAAACATGCTAGACTTCCTTTAGTTGATTTTACGACTTTTTGCGCATATAACATGAATACTTAAACTTTAAAGCTGAACATACTTGTTAACTGCAAGTACTGGATGAAAATTTGTCAAATTGTTGGAAAATTTTAGGGGGGGGGGGTGAAGTTTATAGTCAAATGTAACCAATCAAATAGGTTTAAAGAAATCGAGAACGAGGAGTAACGTGAAGATACAATGGGAGACCAAGGGTTTGTCCTCTCATTATAACTGTTCTGAAGACTGATCTACCTGGACGATTTGTGGCATCTCTTTCCATTTTCAGGTTTTCCATTTTGAAGGAAGAAGCTGCAAATAGAAAGAAATACAAGTTTTGATCAATGTCTCAACTACATTTTTTGTAAAAAATCTCGTTTTGCTTCAATAAAAATGAAATTTTACAATTTTCATGATATTAGCTGTTATATGCGAATATATACTAGTTACTACAACACAGTGTTTGTTCACAATGTGTAAAGTGAATTTGATTGCTGATGTACTAAATATAAATACGATTGTTTGTTGTTTATTTTACCCAGTCTAAGCGTACAGGTAGTCATTCAAAAGTTTCCTGATAACGGTGATCTAGACTAACGGAAACACTGAAGCAAAACAACACATACAAATCACAAAAAACGAAGAAAAAAAAGCGAAAATACAAAAAAGAATGTTCGATCAATTGTTTTACAGCATTCAGAGTTTAATGGTATATCTGAATTTCTAAGATATACGGAGAGAAATAACAGGTGATATATCAGCCTACCTTGACATTCACCTTTATCCCCTTTTGGTCCCCTGGGTCCGGTCACTCCGGGATATCCGTAACCTAGATATAGGGGAAGAAAGATGCTAATTTCAGATGGGTGGTGAAAAAAAAAAATTAGTATTACAAATTTAAAACTGAGCCTGCACAAATGTTGACTAGTGCAGTTAATTCAATCTATCTGTGATGGAAAATTCTGTGTACTACTCGTAAAACTATATTACTTACATCCATATCGGTGAAAATGTTACTTAAGCACGTAAATTTATAAATAAAAATCTTCGGAGGGTTTTGTGAGCCCTTTAACGGAAATCAATGGCGGAGTTCCTTTTTTCATGAGACGTTAATACTTTATAAATTCAGATATTCCTTGGAATCGATATAGAAAAAGCAAGAGACTACTGGAATCAAATTAACTAGGAAATCGTCACCTTGGTCCCCTTTAGGCCCGACTTCTCCTGCAAGAAAAGCAATGAATTTGTTACAGAGATATCTTTCACACTTGAACAAATAACACATTATTGCTTGTAATAAAAATTTAGTCGATGTTATTGATGTGGCGGTATTCGATTTGTTTCCATATGAGGAATAAAAGAACATGGATCTCAGATACATTGCTGGACCTAAAACACATACAATGTAATATGTAATATTTGATCACCGATATAGAATACCCGTTATACTAACATATCCCACACAGTATTGTTCTTATATTGTGTGCTCTGTTTTGAAGTTTAATAGTGCATTTATATAAAATTCAATAACCACAATTTTAATTTTTTTGCATCATATTGACGTCACATATTTTGCTTGACTTTTCTCTGCTTTTAAGCACGTTTCAATATCAAATACATATCCAAATTACCATGCAATACCGACACTGGTTCCTGGTAATAAGCGAGCTCTATACCAAGTGTCAGCAAGAGAAAATGCTTTTCAAAAGATGTGTCTCCAGAATCTCACTTTTGCTAATTTCTTTTCGATGAAAATATTTACCTCAATTCCTTCACTACAACGTTGCATTTGACTTTACAAAGGTATAAATCACATCCTAACAAAAGCACATACATGTATTTATCTTGCTTCAATAGAATGTTTATGTACAGAATTTGACTCAACATGGTCACCATGAACTTTATGAGGAATTAGGAAATTGATAATATCAATGGCCTTGCTCAATGGCATCTTGTGAATGGGAGAAAAGAAAAAAATAGTATATATTTTAAAATCTTCCTTTAATTCGTACTTGTAGGTGAATATTTAAACATACTCAAAATGCATTAAATCTATAAAACACATGTATTTTTTTTTTTTTACTTTTAGGAGAAACAATCTTGTAAGGTCAATAATCTTCAATGTCTAAAGCCAAATTAGATATTATTACGGCTGACAACTCAAGAGAACTTTTCAGCTCACCTCGACGAAGTAACTATAAGCCCTATCTGAACCATACTTGCACGGATGATGCATGTAGAGATAAACACTACCATACTGACTACAGATGCTGGATCTGACCTACATTTTCCAGATGAGTTACCAGGTTATTTTTGGGTAAGTCCATTCCAAAGTAACTATACATAATAGCCCTAAATGGACCAAAATTGTCTGGATGATGTATCCAGAGATGCACATTATCAGACTTGCTAGAATGCTGGATCTGATCTACATTTTCCGGTTAACTAAATGTGTTAGACGTTTTAGAGCAGGTCTATTCCTAAGTAACTATTAGCCCTACCTGTAAATTTGAATAGATAATGCATCTGAGGAAGCATAAGTACTAGACATGCTTCTAATGTTAGGACTTGATCTACATTTTCCAGACGCGTTAATAGGTTAAATGGAGCAGGTCTATTCCCAAGAAACTATAAGCCCTACCTGAACCAAACTTGCATGGATGATGCATTAAGGAATGTATGCATATTAACTGACATACTTCAGATGCTGGATGTGACTGACCTATATTTTCCTTTTGAGTGACAGGTTCAAGCTTTTGTAACAGGTTCCATCCCTCATAACTGTAAGTCCTATGGTGACCAAAGTTGCATGGATGATGCATTTAGGGATGTACAATACCAGTCTTGTTTCAGATGCTGGATCTGACCTTTATTTTAAAGCAGTCCATACCAAATAATAATAACCCTATCTGGACCAAAGTTGCATTGATGATGCAACTAGGGATGCACACTAGATGCTAAATCTGGCCTACAGCTTGGATCAGATCCATTCTTAAATAACTCACTGCTATACCTAGGTGGACCAAATTTTCATGGATAATGCATCTAGGAATTCACATTACCAGACTTGCTTCAGATGCTCGATCTGACCAATTTTTCAAAGCAGGTCCTTTCCCAAGTAACTACAAGTGACCAAAGTTGCATGGATGAAGCATTTAGGAATTCACATTACCAGCATACTTGAGATTAAGGATATGATATACATGTTTCAGTTGAGTTTTTTGAGAAGGCCTACTGACATTGACCCAAATTTGCCGGATGTTTGAACAGATTAAGGTTTTTGAGGCAGTTCCATTCCTTAGTAATGATGCATTTAGGGATGCTTACTATAGACTGCATCTGGCATACATTTCCAGATGAATGATCAAGTTAAAGTTTTAGGACCCAACTTGCAAGAATGATGCATCTAGGGATGAACACTACAAACATGGTTGATCTGACCTATATTTTCAAGATAATTAAGGTGAGATGTAATTAAATATGGAGATAACAAACAGTATTCAAGCTCAAAAGTCCATTCAAACAATTCACATCAGGATCGGAGCAAACACGGACCTCTAAAACATCAGAGGTGGGATCAGGTGCCATGGAGGAGTGAGCATCCCCTGCCGACCGGTCACACCCGCCGTATGCTTCTAATCTTAGATTAGCTACATGGATGTTTTGCCAGGCTTGTAAATGCCTCTCAGGAAAATATGGCTTTTTGTTATACCTTTTAAAAAAAAATGTTTCCTATATAAATCTATGCTAAAAAAAGTAACACTGTGCACAGGTGCGTGGGGACGGGGCCCCCCGCGTTCCATACCACAGTTGCAGTGCAAGTTTAAAATATGAAGATTCCCAGGACTGGAAATACAATTGGACAAATTAGCGATGTATCAATTAATCAATAATCTCTGAAGATATGGAAACCTTTACTAGGTGAGTAGCTTTCATCCTCATTTTGTGAGGATTTTTCATCGAGGTATCGAAAGTCGTCTGTCAAAGTTGCCAACCTTGTTCTCTTTTAGTATCAGAGAGTGTGGATTTTTATAAAAGGCTAGTTTTGATTATACATGTATTTTGGATTTTTCAATTTTACTACTTTTTAAATGTGTCGTAAGAAAATATTTTATATAAATAAAGTTTATGAAACATTGGGGTACGGAACGCGGGGGGGGGGGGGGGGGTTCCGTCCCCAAGAACCTGTGACACTGTGCAGTCCAAAGCAAAATCGATCTTGGACGGCTCAGCGAGACGCTGAGAGATAGATGAGATGTAGGACCGTTATGCCTTTTTTACGTCAAACTTGTATGTGAGATCAACGGTTTTTCATTTGCTTTTGTTGGTCTTCGACAGTTACGGAATTGACCGAGCTAAATCCGCAATGTGGGTAAACGAGATGCACATCAAGATTTTGTGAAATTGAAAGCAAACATGGAAGCCAGCGCAGGATACGTTATAATAAAAAGTGAAAGATATAACAAAATATTTATCTCGGGCAACATGCGTTTTGCCCCAGGCAAAGTTTTTGGTTCTTAGGTCCTACAAAACGCATGTTGCCCTCTAACCCAGTCAATAAAGATATACTGTTGTATCATACCGAGGTCAGTTTCTATATCTCACCTTTGTCACCTTTGTGTCCTGTGTATCCAATGAGACCTCGGTAACCTTTATCTCCTTTATACCCCATTGGACCTGTTTTGTATAAAGCTATGATTTCTTTAAATGTGTCAAAATGTGCAAGAAGTTATACTTTAAAGGGCAATTATTACCAAAGGAAAACCTACAAATATTTTCGGATTTTTTTTAAATAATAATATCGTAGATTGATGGAATAGTTTGATCCAGTTTTAAGACTTTTCATTAACATAGCATTTTCGAATGACCGCCTATTAGCAATTTTTAACCGTTATATTTTCCACTAAAGGAAAATCAAGAGAAAAAGAGAATACTAATGAAATCCGTTAAAATAACGAAATACAGGTACATGTACGATGGAGCCTTACCTGGGGGACCCGTGGGTCCCACTGGCCCGTACGGTCCCAGGGGTCCCCTCTCACCAGGTGCCCCTTTCTCTCCTATTAGACCTTGTATAACAAAAATATTATATCACTGTTTGCTTAAATTCTATGATTTCAGTGAAGGAACAAACTTGTAATCAGATAAGGTTAGCAGTAGTTAACAATGTGTACATTTTTTAACCAAATTTACCTCACTCAAGATGGCTTACGTTGATGTACGTGTAAAATATTATAATTATATAAGAGATGGTACTAATGCTTCCGTAGGATGCTCTGTGTTATGTGAAAACATTTAATATAAATGACTTTTGATAAAAAATAACTAGTATTCTGAATTAACCCACAGCATCAAATATTGCTTGAGGATTAAAGACAAAATAGAGCCGTAAGAAATGAGGAGATGGTTAACCTGCTGGTCCGTCATCACCGGGGAATCCCAGAAGTCCCTGCTTCCCTTTGTCTCCCTTCGGTCCTGGTAATCCGGGCTCTCCAGGGATTCCTGTAAAAGAATGAACCCTTATACTCTGTAGAGTTGTATAAAAATTAATTTGTTCAAATAAATTTTATCCCAATTTTAACTTTTTTGCTTTTACTCCAAGCATTTTATTTTCTAACTTTAAAAAATCGTATGATTGCATAAAGTTGAAGGTAAATTTTAACCCGAAGAAAACCAAGGTTTCGAGGGATGAATTTTTCAATATTACCCTAGGTCCGTAGAACGCGGGGGGCACCACTTTTTTCTGAGTATAGTATTTTTCTTTTAGATGCTGCCCCCCTTTTTTTTAATGTTGTAAGGTCAAGCACTGGAAAATTCCAGGACTTCGACAGTAAAATAGCTTTTTTGGTTTATCAAATAATTTTTGGAAGCCCCCCTCCCCCATCCATGTCGTCAAGCAATGTTGACGTTCTATCACAAAATATTCCTCGACGAATCAGACTCAACTCATTTACATGAAAATATAATATCAGAAAATGGTGACCCAGTTTTATTTTTGAACACTGTCCTCGTCCCTAATTTGCATATTTAACAAATGAAATTTTTTCAAAAGGGTACATTTAACTACGAAATGAGTTAATCCTTTGAACTTAAGACGAGGCGACTACTTTTTAAATGCATTATAAAACCAAGTTGAACAAAATTTCTCCAAAAGAATTGTATTTTACATTCATTGATTAGGTTCGAGGGTATCATGCGTTTTGTTGGACACAAGAACCAAACTGTTTGCCCTAACCTGTTGGCGAACAATTTGGTTGGAAGGGTCGACAAAACGCATTTTGGCTGAGAACACGGTCAATAAATGTTTTATTATACTTTTTACAACGAATCTTGCGCTGGCTTTCATTACGTAAATATCTTATTACCCGCACTGCGGAATTGACTCCGTTAATTCTGCAACTGTCGAACACCAACAAATTCAAATAAAATGTGACTGATCCCGCCTACAGTGTGACGAAAAACGTCATAGCGGTCTAATATCTCATCGACAAGTCCAACATATCACCCACCGATTCAACATCGATTTTTTTTTACTGCTCAATAAAACATTGGAAAATTAATGTTCTTTTTTTGCATATATTTATAAAGAAAACAATCTTTGAAGGTATTACAATAAATTCTGATAAGAAGAAAAACTTGTTTGTATTCAATATATTTTACTTTATCGTAATAAACACAAAATTAAGAACCATGCCACTTTTAAAGTCAAAGGTGTGATACTGCGAAATCAATATTTTTCATGGGGGTTTAATTTTCGTTGTTTTCGTGGTATGAAGAAACCAACGAATTCATGTCCTTCACGAAAATTTTAAATATATCGTATCTCAACACTTCTTCGACGAAATCAATTCCCTACAAACCAGCAATTTTCCCTCTGACCTCGAAAAATGGACCCCACGAAAATATGTGATTTTACAGTATTAGAGACATCTTATTAATGAAGCTAACCTGGTTCACCAGGAAACCCCCTTTCGCCGGGTGAGCCTCGAAGACCCGGAAGTCCTACTTCTCCCCTCCGTCCTCTGGGTCCAATCGGTCCAATAGCCCCAGTATCACCTGTAGAATATTGATCATTAAGATACGTCAAGTAAATTGATCGATGGATTTTTGTTCATACTTGGAAGCGTAACAAACACAATTTGTCAAATTGTTCTCGTCTAATAGCCAAGTCTTCATTGCATTAGACAAAGAAAACGTGTCAGGATAATTCAAAATGTTGATTATTTTCGATGAATAATTAATGTTTCGAATTAAAAATTAATTTCCTTTTGTTTGTTATGAGTCTCCAGTTACCAGCTGAAAAAATGATTTCTTTTGATGTGTTCGTGATAGATTTCTGTCGACAATAGTGTAACTTTATTTCTGTTTAATATAGACATTTTAAATAATACTCGTAAACTATCCGATATATAGCCTTACTATCTGTATACTGTATTATTTTTTCCTTTGTTTTTTATTGGAAGGACACAGACATCCTCTATAATACACTTTGTTCTATCTGAATATTTTTTCATATCTACAATTTCCTTATTCAGCTATTTTAATTTGATTATATAAGGTTTTACATTTCGATGAATCTCATACAAGCCTCTTCATCGATGCGTAGCACATTCACCGCTTAATTCCTCTCGAGTTCGAATCTTAGCTCGGTCATTTTAGAAAAATTTACACAGGTATTGTCTGTTACTTCGAAAACGTTCGGCATGATTCGTAAAAGTAGCGTGAACTCCCAATGAAACATTAAAAAAAAGTGATGATGTGGTACAAAAATATGGTGTATGTGCAGATTCAAAAAAACATTTCACTGGCCTGAGTCAAAAGTCTTGATATTAATTTTCCATCTCTAACTAGATTTATTAACCCCCTGATCGTTGTGAAAGAATTTTGTTTTTGGTCAGTACCTAGATCAATCATTTATACTTTAAACCTATTTCACCTTTAGATCCTTTTTGTCCCATACTTCCGGTGACCCCTGGGACTCCGGTATAACCTCTGTCACCTTTCTGACCTTTCAGTGAGAATGAATCTGTGGGTTAAAAAGTAATCACAATAAGATCATCTTACACAACAATTAAAAACCTTCTGCAATTATTCTATAAGTTAAACTGATTTTCCATACAAGATTTACAATCTCTAGACAGTGTATAAAACAATACATTGTTAATACTTTTTCCAGTAATAGAAAAGAAATACTAGTATTGATTTAATTATCAAAAAAATCATTCTAATCCTAATGAGCCAAATGATACGAATAAAACTTAGTGAAATAAAACAAACGAACGTGCCACAGGTTACTATAAAGAAAATGTGTGTATATGTTTCTAAAATTAAGTCTAAAATAATTATAACAAATTTCAGTTAAAGATAAAAACAGGGGAATTATCACAAATAGGTCATCTCGGAATGGTCCGTGCAAAAAGGTTATTTAGTCTACAGAACAGATGGAAAATTAGATTTGTTGAGACTCTTACGGAAATAACGCTCAACTCACGGACAGGTAATTAATTAAAGAAAGAGGAGGGATAGAAATTAGACACAAACCGAAATAACACGCAACAAATTATTCTGAAAGAGATTAGGAGGAGAGAGATATGAACAACTGGACGAAGAATAGGAAACGTCACGGTAGCTCAGTCGGTAGAGCGCTCGCTCCGTGATCGGAAGGTCGTGTGTTCGAATCACAACCGCGACTGACCTAAGTCGACAAAAATAGGTAGCATCTGTTCCTTCGCCAAGCGCTCGGCAATTTGAAGTGAAAGTTTCGGGTCTTTAGGATGAGACCTTAAAAACCGAGGCCCCGTGTCACGGTAGGCGTTGACAAGATAAAGAACCCTCACTGCTCAATGGCCTGAGTGCCGAGTAAAGGTCCAAATTTGAAGCCCTTCACTGGTATATGGTGACGTCTCTATACGAGTGAAAAAATCTCGAACAGTAGGGTAAACAACATACAATTAATCAATCATGAAAAATGCATTCGCGATAGCGATATGCCAACAGCTTAGGCAAAATCACGAATCGTGTTTCTGCCATCACTTTCACTTTTTCCCTGACGTTTGAGACTTTTGCCTTGCCTGTTACAGTCACAGGTCGGCCAGATTTTGCTGCAATTAATTACGAAAGTAGGAAGTAATTTTTTTTTTTCAAAACAAGAAGAGAATATTAATGTCTACATATATTCTTATATTCCACCAAAATCATGAAAAATGACGGCAAATAATTTACATAATACACTTACTTCGTGGCTTAGAGGAAAACAAACTGTTGTCCCGAATCAGTGGGGAAGACAAGGGCGAAAAGCCAGGGCAACAGTTTCCCGGGTCTCCCACACTACCGAGGGACAACAGTTTGACTGCTCACCGAGTACCTATGAAACAAGTGTTTCATACCCTAATCTATAATTTTGTAAATTAATGATATAGGCCTAAATGTCAATAGACTTTAATCAAAATTAAAATAATCAGGAAACAATTCTAAATGTCTCGTTTAAATGATTCAGTGGGTTAGGTTATAAAGATAAATGTGTCTCCTTACCTTGTATTGAATCTTTGCAATCACGAATAAACACAGCACAACTTGATGGCACCTGGAAAGATACATTCTGTATGTTTACAGAAATCGATTGATTGATTACGTTAAATGAAATTAAATGAGACCAATCATCATAAAAAGAATCATGCTTAAAAAGGCATCTCAATTTAAAGCTATGTATGGCGTATTTTTGATTAGTTCAGGTAACCAAAATTAGAAAGTTCTATTTGTTTCACTACTTTAAATGAAGATAGGATTTTTTCTGTACATTACACAATTTAAATAGATCGCGTTTCAAAGATATAAGAAATAATTTAAAACAATTACCGATTTATTTACCGACTCCACAAAAATAATACATATTTGAATAACTCCGCCTTAATTTGACCACGTGACACTATATTTAGACAATCAACAATAATAGCAAACAATGAGAACGAGAGGTGGACCAGCGAACACAAGTACATGTATGTAGTTTAACAGATTCAGAGAGAAAAGCGAGGAAGAGATAGGCAGCTATCAAGAGAAGTAAAGAGAAAATTAGGTTATTTTAACAATATCATGTACATTTATACCTCCTCTACCACCATGGTTTTAATGCTTTATTTTCGTACAGTCATGCGCGTAGCGGATCATAGAAATATTCAACACAATTACAACAAAGTTTAAAGTCAACATAACATTAGAAACATGGGGTTATCCGAGTTTAAAATCGGTGAAAATTTTAATTTGAACGTACATAACATATATCATGTATATCTGCCCTCAATTTCCTGTTATTATTTTCTGATGTTAAAATTTCCAAACTAATTGCTTCTTTATAAATATATTTGAATTGTGAATATCAGGAAATCCATTTTACATTAGAAGTACATTTAAAGAAAATGCCTGAATGAACATACATGAGAAGTTATTGTCCTTGGCAACATTTTTAAAAGATCGAATAATTGGTTAGTTAAAGGAAATATATATCTATTAAATTCTTTTACTTAACAATATTTTTTATTACACCTATTGAAAAGCAGTCTTTCAAAAGAGATTGTTTCTATTGGCCATAAATTTAAATTAATAAGTTTTTTGCAAAAACCTATGACATCATAGTAGGATGGAAATACCTTAAGCAATTCTTTTCTTTTTTTCATATTAGTAGAACCACTCTAGGAAATATTTCTTTCAAGCCGATCAACGAAACCATAGTATATGCATCATTTAGTGTTTTGTGGATTTCTATTCATATTGTAAACTAGATGCTGTCATAAGACAGTAATGCCGGCACTGAGGTATTTGTCTCTAAATGTACTCACATTCATATTTGGGTAAAAGGGGAAGTGATTGCACATTAGTTCTATAATTTACAAGTCGGGTTTCAACCCTCAATCGCCCCCAGTAGAAATCCCAAACCTACATGCACATCTACAGAAAACACCCGGGTTTCTTCCAAAATATGATTGGGCTACTGTGAAAAATGTAAGAGGAATACAGAAAACCAGGTTTTTGTAAAAATAAATGAATAAATGAATAAATAAAGAAATAAAGAAATACTTTTTTTAAATAAAAAAATTCTTTGATCCCCATTTAACTCCCACAGTGAAAAATCAAGAATCTGAAACTTTATTGCACATCTAGAGGACACCACCAATATTTCAGAAGATGAGTTAGTCTGTTAGTTACCTCAAAAAATGTAAGAGGAATTCAGGAAACCTTTTTCTGTAGAAAAACGTGGGTTTTGGATTCCCATCGCCCCCAGGGTGAAAATCAAAATTCCAAAACCTTCTTGCACGTGCATCTAGAGAACACTCCCAATCAAATTCCAAAAGGCGAATGGACTACTGTGAAAAATATAAGAGGAGTTCAGGGAACCATGTTTTTGTAGAAAAAAAACGCATGTTTTACCCCCATTGGGCCCCAGGGTAAAAAATGAGATTGCATGTTGTAATCATATTCCAAAAGATGAGTCGATTACTGCTTAAAATGTAAGAGTAGTCTGAGGATGAAGATAGTGTAATGGACTGACGGACCAGGATAACAACAATATACCCAAACTTTCTTTAGGAGGTGGAGGTATAATCTGGAATCCTGTAAGATATCGCAATTAACAACTTTCTGAAGAACTTTTTCTTTACTTCTTCACGTTACTTGCTTTTTCTGATTTTTTTTTAACTTTAATTTTAGTAGCCATAGGAAATTAATCAAATTTTCTGAAGTACATTAGTTATTATTATTATCATTATTTTTTGATGGATGATTGCATCAAAATATCTCTCAAATTATGATTCATCTATAGAGAAGGACAATTTCAATATGGGTGTACGTGTGTGTGGGCAACAGCGAAAATGCCCTTATCATTTACTTCTTACGACAAAGGCGACATAGACTTATGATGTCGCCGCTCCTGGAAATGTGATAAATGTTTAAACAGGCTAAATCAGATCTCTCAGAAGGAACAGCCTGACAGGATAATGAAATTATCAATGTCCATTTCATTGTGAAGTAAGGGGTTTTAGAAGCAGAGGATGGCCTTGGGCATTGATTTGTTGTAATATGTCGCAATCTAAGCCGATGCTTATAATTACCTACCAATTTTGACAAGAGAAGCTATTCAAACATTGTTCACAAAGGCACGTCCACCTATTTTGTTCAGAGGACTGCTCCTTACAAAGATTAAGAAGTCCGTTTTTGGTAAAGGATAAAACCCGAAGAACAGTGAAACGGCGAATAGCAAGGAAAAACCAGACGCTGTCAGAAGACAGTAAGTAATACCCGCACGTGTGTTTGCCTGTAAACATACTTCCCTTCGTAACTCATTACTAGCGAAAAAGTCAAGTCAGAAATTTACATAACGGTAAATTTACAGGAATCAAACTGAGCATAAAAATGCTAAAGTAAGCATGTAGCCCAAGGACCTCACATTGGTATTTCATACAATAAAGTTAACAAATTAATGAAGCTTACATTGTGTTTAAAAGGGAGCTTTAGATAAATATGTAGTTTTAAAAGAGCCATTTTAAATGTTTGTCATTTATACATTTTGCCACCTGGATAAAAATTCCAAAACCTTGTTGTACATCTACAAGGCACCGCCAATCATATTCTAAAAGGTAATTGGTCTACTGCAAAATGTGTAAGAGGAGTTCTTGGAATATGATTTTTGCAGAAAAAATGTTTGGTTTTTTTTGGCCTCCAACTGGCCATCTCATTGACAAAATGAACATTCCAAAACCTTATTTCACATCTTCAAGACATTGATAATCGTATTCCAAAAGATGATTTGGCTATTGCATAAAATGTTAGAGAACTTCAGGGAACCAGACTTATGTAGGAAAACGTCCCTTTTCGACTCCCAGTTAGCCCCAGTGAAAATGAAAACTCAAAAAAGCTTTTTGAACATATATATGACACCACCAAGAATATTCCAAAGGATAATTTTTCTACTGTTTAAAATATAAAAGGAGTTCTAGAAACAGGTTTTCGTATAAAAACGTTTGTGGTTTTTCCTACTTCCAATCAGCAGAAGGGTGAAAATTAAAACTCCAAAAGCTTATTGAACATATACAAGACACAAACAATCATATTCCAAATAATGAATTGGCTGCTGCACAAAATTTAAGAAATAAAATAGTGTGACGGACTATACCCGGAATTTATCTATAAGTGAGTGTATCGTGAAGCGGTCCACATAATAGGGCTCTATAGAATCGTCGTTGCTTAACTTGCCTAAAATCGAGGGAGACTCTACAGCATCACTAGAAAAGCTAGATCTCAAGTGAGGTAGTATAAATTTTCTATATGTTGTCCGCTACACATCCCCTCGATCAGGGAAGCTTCGACCCGAAATTTAGCATAGGTCCTTTCTGAGCGTCTGGAGCCTCTTCAGTAGCGGCAACCCCTGCCGTCTACGGATACTGATACATGTACTTAGTGCTAACCCTTGAGGTTCCTGAAGCAGATCTGAGACCTCTTCAGTAACGGCAACCTCTGTCGTCCATAGACACCCAAGTCTGTAAATAGACACTAAGTTCTAGCTCTAAAGCTTCCTCGAGCAGGTCTTCAAACAACGTTGCTTAATTTGCCTGAGAAAAGCTAGCTCTCCAGTGTAGCAGTATAAGTTCTTCACATATTTTATTCCCAATATACTGTCCGCTACTGAGCAAAAGACCTATACTAAGCTGGCCTGGATTTCTTACCTACTTGATGCATTAATGTTATCTCTAAAATTAACTGAAGTAATGTAAAAGTTATTATTCTATTTGTTTCATTACAAGATGCCTCAAATGATGAAAGAAAATAATCTCAGATCAACTAATGAAAACTACTGATACAGGACATCATAAAATGTAAACCGTTGTCATTGTTGAAAGAAGAGTGCCTATTTCGGTTAATTTGACGAAATAAGAATTACAAAACTAGATCCATTAACGAAACTTAAGTCAGTCTAAGTTTTCAATTCAATTAAACGCATAAAACATGAGTGATAGCAGTATTATGACGTTTATAGATTTCCTGAACAAATTAAATTAAGCACAGGAAATTTAAAAAATGGCCTTCAGTTTGATTTTATTTATGCAGAAATACCTCTTACTTTGTAAAAGGAATTTACAAAGCAGTTTATAATTGGTTTTATTTGCCTAATAGTTAATTGGTAAACCTGTATCACTAAATCTATGTTAGTTTTTTTAGTGACAAAAAAGCCCAAATTGAATGATTGATAAATGGACATCGCCGACCAGCAGAGATCATAAAATACAAACATAAATTTTATAATTTTAAAATGGCTATGGATACCAATTTGGATAACACATTTAACTGTAATGGGAGACGGGGGGTAAATAGGAGGCATGGAATGCAAAATCCTTTAATACAAAAGACTGCAAACATAACGTTGACGAAATGATGACAATTTTTATAAGAACTGAATTAACAAATTAGCTAAACAAACTAATCAATTAAATGCATTAATTTATTTACTTAGCCCACAATGTCAGGCTTGGTTGAATAATACAACAATCGAAGTATCATATGTCTTCGGGTTGTATTACATGGTAATGTAATATTTAT